AACTATTTGAATTCTAGGCTCCTCCTCACTGCACCTCTTGGAAGGGGTGGGAGGTGAGGAACAGTCCTGGGTAGAGCAAGGCTGTGACGTTATTTATTCCAATCAGGACGCGGAGGTTCAGAGCTTAAGAACGACAGATCCAGTTATATAGCAATACACGATAAGAGACATTCATTCAAATCCTTTTGTCCATTTGAGATTAAACTGAAAACAGTAACAATGTCTATCTTTTCACTCAAGGATCTCAGAATATTTCATAAACATGGATTTAGTCGTCTACCAACAGAAAGCTTCTCCCCCTGACCCTGCGAGCTGAGCAGAGAATAGGTGTTCTCACATCCACCCAATAGGCTCTTCTTAAATGTTTGATCATGATAACATACACATAATATAAAATTTGCCTTCTTATCCGTTTTTAAGTGTTTGGTGGCATTAAGTGCATTCACACTGTGCTGCAACCATCACCACCACTGGTCTCCAGAACTCCTTTCATTTTCCCCAACTGAACACTAACTCCCCATTCCCTTCCCCCAGTCCCCGCAAGCCACCGTTTCACTCCGTCTTTATGAATTCGACTACTCTAGAACACTCCTCATGCAAGTGGAGTCACACAATATTTGTGTGTTTGTGACTGACTTATTTCACTTAGCATAATGTCCTCAAGGTTCACCTGCATTGTATTGTACCATGTGTTAGAATTTCCTTCTTTTTAAGGATGAGTAATATTCCATTGTATGTATATACCATATTGCGTATATCCACTCATCTGTCCATGGACATATGGGTTGCTTCTACCTTTTGGCTACTGTGAAGAATGCTATTGTGAGCACAGTTGTACAAGGATCTGTTCAAGTCCCTGCTCCTCCTTCTTCTGAGTGTGTACCAAAAAGTGAAATTGCTGAATACTACAGTGTGTCTGTTTCATTTTTTGAGGAGGCGCCATACTACCCAGTAGGTTTTTGCACAAAGCTGGTAGACTGTGTCAAGAGTACTACACGCAGACCTGACCCTAACCCCTCCTCCCAAGGAGCCCCCTTGTCCCCAGCACAGCGTAGGCACACGCAGAAGTCCTGAGAGGTGCTGAGGCTCCTGTCTTAGAAGCAGTGAGGGAGCTATTACAGCCACATTCATCAACACCTTTCCTGGAGTCCCCTGGCCAGGTGGCAAACCTCAGTCGTTGGTGGTCTCTGAGACCATCCATCACTAAGATACCTCAGGTCGCATGGCCGCCTGATTTGTTCTCCAGGCAGAAGCCCCCCTCCATGACTTTCTTTTTTCACCTCTTCCTGTGGCCTGAATTCCCTCACTCAGTTAATTAGCATGCCTGGCACGGTAGCTTAAGACTTGAATCAGCGTGGGGTGGTTTTAATTAATCGTGTGTCTCTGCATCTGGAGTGGCTTGTGTTCCAGGGTCAGGAGAGGAGCCGGAGATGGGGAATGGCAGAGACGGCTTTGTTTGGTGTTCAGAGTGGTGGAGGATCTAGGTATCCGGGGAGGGAGAAACATAGTGCCAAGGTGGCTCAGGAGCCACCTGGCCACCTGTGAAGCTTACTAGCAATGTGTGGAAGGTAACCAGAGCTATTCAGGGATAGAACCGCACCAAGACAAATGGTGGACTAAATCTAGTTTTCAAAAGGGATTTAAAGTGTCAGGAAATTTTCTGATGCTTTCCAGAATTACCCATGAGGTGAGGAGTGAGAAAATGCAACAATGTAGATTGGGATCAGTCTGGCAGGGCTTGACCATGACAGAGAATACTGCCTGATGACGCAAGCTCAGAGGTTTCCCTTGGCCAAGCCTCCTTCAGGAATGTTCTGGAAAGACAAGGGGGGTGGCACCTAGCTCTCGAATTATGGTAACCTTTCTATTTGGTCTGTCAGGATCCCATTGACTCCCCCAGTTTTAGCATCCATGTTTTTAAAATAGTGGTGAAAACCTAGATAAAGTTGAGCAGAGTAATTTAAAAAATGACTGAAAAAGTAAATAGAAAGATCCTAAAAATAAAGGTTAAAGAAAGTTGAGTCTCATAAAAACTGCTCAGGACTTATGTTCCTGTCTCACTGGGATGCACCTACATGAAAAGCAAAGAAAGATGCATAACTTACAGCAGTAAGTCCAGGAAGCTGGGATAACCCCAGGGTTTCATCCCAAAGGTGAAGCAATGAACGATTTAGGGGCAGGTGCCACAGTTCAAGGAGGAAATGATGTGTTCAAGATATAAAAGAAGAAAACTTTTTCCAGGCCTGTTGAGTTTCTGACTGAATTCGTGAGGCCCAGGAAGACTATCAGAGCAGCCTTCTGTGATGGGGGAGAGAGATGAAGTGACACCGTAGTCAACAATGGGTGTTAATGACAAAGAGAACCATAAAAATCACTGTAACATGCCTTGATCATGTATGAAGCTTCATACCTATTGGGTCATCTGTCCTTTGAAAACCTCTATGAATGGGGGTGGGGGATAGTTTTATCCCCATATTTACAGATGAGAAAAATTGAGATTCAGAGGCAGTAGGATCTCATTGCCAGACAGTGGTGAGGCAGAATTTGAACCTAGCTCTGCAGGCTTTTACACTCCAGCTCAACGGAAATGACTCTTGTCTGGCATCAAGAGAGAAAGGTTTTCAGGTAGTGACAGTATTAAACACCAATTGCAAGATATTTTTAGAAGTCTGACTGCAAAGTCTTTGAGAAGGTCAGGCTGGCCAAGCAGCTGGCCCTTTATGTTGCACACCCCGGAAACCCAGGGCACATCGAGCCCAGACAAATTACAGAACATGCTCTTGAGAGAAACTGGGGAGGATATTAATTAAGTTTAGACCAAGAAAATGCTTTTGATTGAACAAGTCATGATTTTCCCTTTAAGACCATGCAAAATATGTAGTGTTAGACGAGCAGCTGGAACATATGAAAATATTATTATGTACTTAAGTTACCAACTTTCACCATCTACGGTCCCTTTTATTACTTTTTTCCCCTCCAGGCCTCATGTTTTGAAAGATTTTTGCCTACTAAACAAACTGCATTTATTAAGTAATAATATATTTCCCATTCTTAATATGGCACATACATCACTGGATATGCATAAAAACAGAAAGCAGCAACAATTCAATTTCCATTAGGCTTTTGGAAATACTGAAAATAGCTTGTGGACCTCATTACCACTGATGAATTTCTATGAGTCCAAGTACTTTGGGCTGGGAACCATTATTTACACGCCTATAGGACCCACACATCTATGCCCATTTAGGAGGTATAGGAAGAAATTAAGGGGGCAGCAGGAAGAGAGTGAGTTCCTGGCTGTGTGTAGCGTCAGAGGGATTATTTGTAAGAAACCTATCATCAGGATTAATTACAAAAATGGGAAGATGGTACATAGGTAGAGCCGAGGCATGGCTCCTTCCTATTACATAAGTGGTAATAAAAGAAAAAATAAAATTCCCAAAGTACAAAAAGGCATCTAAGAATGTGGGGAAAGGGCCCCCACGGCCAAGGGCAAAGCTGTAAGAATGGGAGCAGGAAGCTAAAAGGTAACTTCGAGGAAGCAAAAGTGTAGTGCGGCCATTAAGAATACTCAACATGTACTTGAGAAAACAAGAAGAAGAAGATATATAAAGGGAATTGGAAAATTAAGGTAGAAAGGAAAAGGAGATCATGTGGGATTAGAATTAATTATTAATTAGTTCCAAAAGAGAGTTTCGAGACTAAGTGAGCAGGCGCTGGTGCCAGCGTGCCCGCGAGTGAGTCACAGGTAGCCCCTGCCAAGCGGCACATGAATTTACGGAGGCAGATGCCCCTTGACGCAGTAGGGAAAACGCAGCCCCTGCATTTGCTTAGGACACACGCTGGTTCCGTCAGGCCGACGTGGTGTCACTTGTCAGTGCCTGTTGTTTGATGGCGAGAAACCAAAAAAGATGACCACCTCAGATTCTCTTAGCTCCAGCTGAAAGGTGAGGTAAGAAATCCGCCACTGGATAAAAAATGTATCCCGAATGGAAAAAGATGATTTATTACAAATAAATAAATAAAAGATTTTGCAAAATAAAAACTGGCAAAATGGAGAATAAAGGCCAAAGCTATATAGGAAAAAATTAAAATTCCATTTGATCCTGTGAGTTCGTATAAAGTATGTTCTGTGTATTGGGCCCTGAGAAGTCGTGTCAAAGTCATCAGGCGAAGCTACACTGCAGGACATTTAAGAAATGAAGCAGATCTTTGGGAGGACGCTGAAAATGGACACACTTGGGCTAAGAAGCTGTGTCACCTGGAACATTTTATTAATACGTTAACAAGCGGCTGGTGAAAGTGAATGTAAAGTTTTGGGTTTGGACAGGAAACCTCTACTCATGAAAAGGGTGTGGGTAGGAGCAATAACAGCTGCTCTTTGAAAGCTCCAGAGTGAAAAACTTTCAGAGCCAGTTGGCCAACATTATGAGAAAGACAGAATAGGCAGGTAATAGCTGCAAAGTGAGTTTAATACACCTTGTTAAAGGCGCGGAGAAAGAGAAAGTGAAGGTCTTGGTCTTAGGTTAAAGGCCCTCTGGAACCACAAAAATTACAAAGGAGAAAGACTGAGAAGGAGGCAAAACACTTTATGGCAAAAAAGAAACACGAATAGAGAAAGAGTAAACATTTGAGTTTATTACATTGATAAGAAACAGATATGTGTTGAATTGGATGTTTGTAGAGATATTTAGGGGGATTGGTGGTAAGGAAATGTAAATGTAGACTATATAAGTCTCCTTTATAACATTTTAATATGACCTCTATGGAGTCTATTCCCAGAGATTCCTATGAAAACAACAGGTGGTTGTCTCCCTTGGGTGCTTATGTGGCCACCTGCTCAAATACGATCACTCAAGGTCCCTTTTGGTTCTGGGGTTCTTGATCCCTTCCTGCTCCCACACTGTTTTAGGGGATGCACCTGCTAGAGTGCAATCTCTTCCTGGCAAACTGAATGTTCTCGAAATCTTGACCACTCTCTCGCTGTTGCCCTGTCTCAGCTCACCAGAGTCCCCGTGGAGTCCTGTGGTCAGTATCAGAACTGCAGCGAGTGCCTTGGCTCGGGGGACCCCCACTGCGGCTGGTGTGTGCTCCACAACACGTGAGTACCCCCGGCGGCTCACTCCCGCCTCTCCCTTCCCCCGGCTCGCCCCCCCCCCCGGCTCGCTCTCCCCGTCATCTTCTCCATCCTCACTCTTTCTTTCTGATCTCTCTTCTCACCTTGTCTTTGCTTACTCTTCCTTCCTTGTATGATTTGCAAATTTTATCTTCCTTCCTTCGTTCTGATTTCTCTTGAAATTGCCAGATCCCAGTAAGATAGATAGAAATGGCAGCGTGGGAACGATGATGTGCCAGGGTGTGGAATCACGGTGGGTAATCACACGCTGGAAGGCTGGGGAGAGATTCTGGGCATTTTCTGCTGTGACTTGACTGCAGACTGGCATTCCAGGACTAAACAGCAGGGAAAAGGCATTGGACTTCTTCCTCAAGGCTCACATGGGCCCCTCAATAACGTGCGAGTTCCATACTGTCCATTTGGTGATTCAGCATCCATTTAACCGACTCTCTGACATCTCCCCGCTGAATCTTCTCGTACTTGAGACTCTTCCGGTGCAGTTCAAGTGGGTAGTCCCCGAGAACCTGCCCGCTATTGTCATTGCATTTGCCTGGCTGTTAGAGCACCCTGGCCCTGGGGTCATGGGACCAGAGGGTCCCTGTCCCAAGTGCTGGGCACTCTGCCTGTGTGCATGTTTGTGCTGGTTCTATTTCACCCTCGAAAAGTGGGAGGGAGACAATGGTATGCAGTGGAGGCAAACGGTAACCTGGTAAATGAACTGAGTATGGGATGCTGGGTACAGAGAACCAATCCAGCCCCGTGCAGAGAGTTGAAGGCCTTTCTTAGAGGATCCAAAGGCCCTTGTCATCACTGACTGGAGAAACTGGCCATAGTTGGACCCCACTCTGATGGAATCGGGTCCCAGTCAAGCTATTGCTGCTGGAACCCCAGGCTTCTAGTCAGCACTTGAAACCTGGTGCCTTGTGAGCCGGACATAAGTGTTATAAATTAAGGGAAAGGACTGCAGTTGTCCTACTTCATTGGTCACACTAGTCATTTTTAGCTGCAGGAATACCAAGGCAGGATCTTGCCCCACCCCCACCCCCCAGGGGTGCCTCTGAAAGTTAGAAACAGCCTCTTAAATTCTGACACATCCTCTCCAAGGGCACAGGCACACGCTCATGTCTGGGTGACAATCTCAGGCAGAATGAGGCCTTAAGTTCTTTAAGAGAAGGTCTGAAATCCCGCAGGTATTCGATGGTGAGAAACAATCGAGATCATTGACGTGCACTGAAATACACGTCACCCAGAGACAATCAGAAACTGGGCGTAGGAACACACACAAAGCTGTATATTGTAAAGGAGGGCGGTGGAACCTAAGAGTGGCCGGCGTGAGAGAGGGTGGCAGGGATTGCTTTCAGAATTCAGATCAGCTCTCATCAATCCAGGAAAGCTCCTGGATGATACTTAGCAAGGCAGAAAAGAAGTCACTTTCCTTGTCCCACACAGTGAGGCCTCTCAGAAAGGGCCCAGGCTCCGGACCCATTGCTTCTGCGGGGACCTTAGGCCAGCTGGGTTTCTGCTTGACCAACGATGGCTCGGCTGCTCCTGGCGTGGGCTTTCACGTCTGGCATCATTCAAGGGCAATCGGGAGAGCTGGCTCCTCTCTGACACTCTATGCCTGTGGGACCCAAAGGCAGGTCTCCGTGCCAGCTTTGACCCTGCCCGTTTGTGCTGGTCAGGCCCAGACAGCACCGAGCCCTGTGAGGAGCAGGGGGTCCCAAGCTCTGAGATGGCACAGAGAGGCTGCCCATCTCCCATCCTCCCCTCCCCAGAGCTGAGTTTAACAGGAGTGAGAAGAATAGGTACCAGAAACTACTTCCTGCACGGCCTCAGTTTCCCCTTTAGTAGCATAATACCTGCTTCCTATCAAGTGGCAGAAATTGGGTGGACTGGGGCCAAGGTGAAGTCCAAACAGTTCATGAAAGAGGCCATCGGGCTACACTGGGAAGCCAGCATATCTGCTCGCAGGGTGGCTTCAGGAAAACAGCCATGAACATGAACTTCAAGCATCTGCTGCCAAGCCCAAAGTCCTCATCCCCCCAGCTGGGAAGCAACCTGGGGGAGCATCCCAGCTCCTCATCGTGGATTGGAGATGGTGATATCTGACCTGCGCACCTCTCTGAGCCTTGGGAGAATCGGATGAGATCATGTGGGTGAAGGGCAGTGGGAGCTGACGAGTGTGTAAATGTAAGGGGGACGTGGGGCGGGGATCTCAACACGGTTGGGGAAGGGCTTAGAGCTCATGGGGGCCATGCCGCTTATGAGTTCGATTGAACCCCATTGGTTGTGCAGATGGCTCTACTTGAATTGCATCCTTTCCTCCCCAGGGGTACCACAGCCTCAAACTGCCTTCCTCTTAGTGGTAGATGCCCTGCTGCATTCCCCTCCCCTCCGTTGCCCTGGCGTCATGTCTCATCCATATGTGTGTCATGTCCATACAGCCCTTATGAAGCCCAGGCGCTCGGGAAGCAGGGGCTGTACCAGCGCTTTCTCTATGCCTACACCTCAGCACCTGTGCAGGGGGCGGGTGGCCCCCCTTGCCCAGGATGCCACAGTGGGAGCAGGTGTGTGAAAGCCACGAGGGACTCCGGAAGGACGGCTGGCATAGAAATCAGTGTGAGGTAGCTCCCCATTTTTGCAAATATGTCAAGAGACTTGGGACAAGAAGAGTCGATTCTCATTATCTGTGGTACTTTATAAAGTCACCTCAAACACCAAATTCGTGAATACTGAACCATGGCTCCTCAGAGAAATACAGAGCTATGAGCCTCCGGTCACAATGTTTTTGTCAACCCATCAATATATAACCATGTTCTATGTGTGTTTCTGTTTAAAGACACCTCATTTAATATATATTGTTTGGTGAACCTTGAACTCACAGCCAACACACTACAATCTGTGCCTGAAGGAAGCGTGTCTAACACAAGCATTTTCTCCGTAAGACACATCGCAGCTTTCTTGCACTTAGGATCACTGGGAAGCACTTCAACATGATTCCTATGGGCCATTTTAAACAGAAGAGTCACCAAGAAAAAGCACAAAAAAGTGAAAAATGAAATACCAAATAGACCACCAAAAGAACACGTTTATACTGAGAGCTGAAACAAGAGGGCACAGTGGTGTGGCCTACTTGGCCCTCTGCTGGGGACATCTGCTTGTGGTTACTCAAATTTTTCTCCCCTCTGCTCATGTCTGAGAGTGACCTTGAGGAAGCTGCAGTATCGATTTGAGGATTATAAAAAACATTAGCAAGTAGGCAAGTTCACAAATATGGAATCCACACAAAAAAAGGATCGGCTGTAACTATGTGTCAGACATTTCACATTTTTGTTTATAAAGAGGAAGCACCATACTGTCTCACGGTCGTGGAATGAGGATAAAATTAAGTAACAAAGGATATTAAAAAGGTCCAACATGCTCCTGTGGGTCAAGGTGGTCTCTGGTAAACTCAGGCCTCCTGGTTGTGTGGAGACTCGGGTGCTGAGGGCTGAGCTGACGTCTCTGGTAAAGCCCAGCTCCCCTGGGTGGGTTCAGCTCATGAGCACTCCTAGGCCAAGGCCGCCTGCCCACCATGACACTCAGCAAATCTGTCCTGCCTCACTGCTGGGGGTAATGACCAAGGAGAAGCCCCAGGCCCTCCTGGCGGAGTGAAGAAAAGTAGGTCCCTGGATCTTCTAAGATTCTTGTAATCAGGATATAATGTTTACATTGTACAGTATGATGCACAGATCTGAAGTGTATAATTTGAAAAGTTTTGACAGATGCAAAAACCCAGGTAACCAAACCCCATCAAGATATATGTTTCCTTCATCCAGGACTACGTGCTCCTCCCCCTTCTTTCCAGCAGGTCTTTCTTCCCTAGTTCTTAAGTTCAGGTCAAAGCCAGACTTCGCCTCTCCTGATACACCCTGTCTTTTATTCTAAGTAGATGCCAGCTGGACAGTCCCGGATGGGAGAGGTGTCTGAGGACATGCGGGAGGGAAGGGAGAAGGCTGTGGCAGGCAGAATATGAGCAGAAGGTCGAGGAGGGCCAGGGAGCCGGCAGACACTTACCCTGGGCACCTCAGTGTACTGGGAAGAGAGCGTGGCGCAAAGGGCATGGGTTTTGCCTGCTGTGGGAGTGTTGTGCCCATACCACAAGCTTGTGTTCAGATCTCTCACACTGCCCCTGCCCGCTTGGTGCCAGGCCCTGTGCTAGGCTCAAGGGATTCAAGGGGACAATGTTAAGCCACCTCTGCCCTGGGTCTTGGGAACCAGACCTCTGGTCCAAGGATGGGGCAAGGGGTTGCAGAATGTACTAGAATCAGAGCAGCTGATAGGCCCACGTCAGGGGCAAGACCCTGTGCTGAGCGCTGCAGGATCCAGGGAACATGACCCTCAGAAAAACGAGGGCAAAGAGCATCAGGCAGAGGGTTCCTTCAGGTGTCACGGTATCTGTCACCCTTGCCTACTCTTCCCATGGTTGTAGGGAGTAGGCGGGTGGGAACTCTGTGGGAAGGGAGGGACTGAAGGGGGGTGTGTGTGAGAGATTGAAGGCGAGGCAGAGACAGAGGATCAGGAGGAGAGCACCAGAGCGCGCACAGTGCAAGGGCGGGGCCCTCCCCGCAGGTGGCTCAGGTGGCTGAAAGGGCTGTTTGTACCAGCAAGGGCACAGGTGGCTTACAGGCTGAACAGGCTTAAGAAATGTCCATGTAACTGAAACCCTCACTCCTGGCAGTCCCAATTGTCGCAAAGAACTGGCCTGCCAGCCCCAGTAGCACAGAGGGTCACCTGCAGCCTTCTCTCGCAGTCCCTCGGGCTTGCTGGTGTCTAATGGCAATGATACAATAGCTTCAACAGCCTGGGCGCATATTTGTCTGCGAGCTGTGCCCACACTGCAGACCTGTCCATGCATCTGGGGCCTTCATTCCCGGTGCATTCCTCTTGGGCTGAGCCTACCTGCTCTAACTCGGAGGAAGGTAAAGGAAAGCCTACAGCCCAGC